TTTCATCAGCTATAATGTGATTGTTTGAATATATAATTTGATTGGCGCTTTTTAACCGCTGAAGCGATTTTTCGGCCGACGTTCTCCTCTAATTTGTGGTTTTGTGTTTTGATGTTTTATCCAACAAACACATACAGTTTATACTTCGCCTCCGAACGGCTGATAGTTTGTTACGAGGAGCTTTTATTGCACGTCCGGAATACACTCGAACGACCGCAATTAGAAAATTTAATCCTAATAATCCGTAACTTTTTGGTGGCACCGGGATTTGAACCCGAGGCATTCAAAATTCGTGCAACTACTCTCAGCGCGCAAGAGAAATCAGAGAACCGTTCTAAAATTTCTTGTCTGTCTATGATCCTTGCTGCGTGAGCTCACCAATTCCGTCTCCATTGTGTTAGCATTCATCTGAGGCCACTCAGATGGTTACTATTTTAAACAGCTTGGACCCTGGCACCATAGAGTACTCTCTGCGAGTTCCCTAGGTGATACGCCTCCACTGCTAAGGTCGGCTGGGTTGTATTTCAATTTTTAAATCCGACAAGCTCCTCCGTTTTCGAGACTATTTGCCACGAAGGCAGTCCAGTTACAGGGGGGCTTTCGCAGCCATGAGCACTATGGTTGAATCGGTCCAGTTGTAGATCGTTGGTTGAACCATGTCAAACTAGATGAAGCGCATTAATTAACTAGCCAGAAGTAGAGCACCCCATTATTCTAAATGTGGTAGGGCGATAGTTTTTACCAGTGCTACCTTGATTTTTCCGAATAACAAATTTCCCTCAGGAGTTCCATCTGATATGCGTTCCCGTACTTTTACGTATAAGAGAGTAACGTATGCCTTCTCAGAAGCATCGCAGAACCTGGAACTCGATACCTTCCAAGGTGTCAAATTAATCCGCCTTGGAATTTATTTATTTTTATTTTTTATTTTAATAATAATAACAAAGCATTAGTACAATAAGATTTCCATATCTTTTTTAGTACAACAGAGATAGTGTGAAGAATAAGTAAATATTACTTTACAGATACCTTAACAAAAATAATAATAAAAATAAAAATAATTATAATATATAATGAGTTGAGTATGACAAAAACTTAAACAATTATTGAATGGTCAGTCTATGTTTGAAATTTGNGAATATAAGCACAAATACAAAAAGATATACAAGAAAATCAGCTTCAACGGGTAGACAAACAAACAAACTGTCTCACTGAAACAATACCAAGAATTTTTATTTAAAATGCCACCGAAACAGTATTAAACTCTCGAGCGTAGACAAAACACGTCCGGCCGCAATGACTTCACAAAGTAAGTAAGAATTCTGATACTTCCAATGTAAACGTAATTTTTCAGAAATTTCTCCCATCGCAGATAAATTCCTCTGGGTAGGCTGTCATCCCAGTCTATTTTGGAAAGCCATATATCCTGCATTAAAATTTTTACCTCAATCACTAAGGGTTCTAACCGATTTGCATAGAAAAGTTTTGCTACACTAAATAGCACTTCTCGCTTTGTATAACTTTATTTAATTAGGAACTTTTGGACTTTAAAATGGAATCTATCGCGACAGCGTTCTGCCTTATACCTAACTTCATTTCTTCTTTCATATAGTCCACTAGTTCTTCATCGTTCGACTCTCTAAACAAGATCCCATGGAACCGGGTATCGTTGGGATGAAGCAGGATCTGCCGATACATTTTTTAAATACCTGTATTGAAAACATCTATAAAATCGGTATTTTAATAAGAGTGCAATGATATCAGATTGAAAAACCGGGCCGGGGGAAGTGCGTCATTTTAACTAATCCCGTTTCCGGATGGATTTGGAGCGCGCCATTGTGGTTATGCTGACCGATTTGATAACTGCGGGATGTGACAAATTATTTGATGATCCTGAGCCGCTTCTTCCGTAGCTGATGTCAAATTGCCTTCATATGTCCGAGGCTTATGTATTCTCGCAGTACTCGGTGATACTCACTTCTAAGCTGAAGATTACGAAGCACGACTGCTCTGCGTACTTCCGTTTAAACGGTAATGCCAGAACGTACCGTTTTCCGTCCTTTCTCATCGTCATGTTCCTTGTGTTGCTCGCAATATGCTTTCTCAGGAGTGACCGGCTTGACTAAGTAAGTTCAGAGTTTGAGATTTCGGAGAACATGGAAACATTTGAAAATTGATTTGTATATCAGGCTTGAGAGGGTGGTTCTTTTAAAATCCCGCCGTCCGCTGCGCTAAAAAAGAGCCTAGAACATTTTTCTAACATTTCCCATTATTACGGCTGGGTACAAATCTGCACCAATGAACAAGCAAACTTGCTGACTTCTGTACAAGTTGACGGCGTCTAAATCAATTGGAGGCAGTAGTAAAAGGAACTCCACTATGTCGAATTTGACAATTTCTCGCGATTTGGCCGGCGTTATCAATTTTATTGAACTTACAATTAAGTCAGAAGGATGAGTTGATACATTAATACGATTCTGCAACCGCATCGTTATGAATGTGCCCTTCGATCCCGAATCCAAAAGGCCCTTGCCTTGTAATTTACTCCTGTGAACCATCGCAGTACCCAAAATTGAATTTTTCATGCTAGATGCGAAATGTGCGTTTACACCACTGGAGGTGTGTGGTGGTTAAGTTTTCCTACCATCTCCATTTCCTGATAAGGGACGAGTTGCGGAGGTTGAAGGACGGTACCCAGTCGGACTCCTATGCAGCAATGAGAGATGTCTTAGATGATAACTAAGGCATCTGAAGGTGCTCTTGCAATCCAAATCCATCCACAAATTGTATTTCCTCACTATTTTCGAACAAACATCTATCTTTATGGCTAAAAACATTTGAGCAGGCCTTAAACACATGGGAATTCTCTGGACATAGTCTGTATATCAGTTGCGAGTACTGAGAGTCCTTTTTCCCAGAGGATTTTCAAATGCACGACTTTTTGCTACCTTAGCTACACGCGTGCTCTGAATGTCAGATGTATTGACTGCAAACTAAAAATACAAAAATGGCAATTGCTTATCTCAATCCAATACATTTGGAGAGCTGAGATGCAATTTTTTAAACCACGTTACAGATTATTTATTTCTCCACCGCGCTTGGTTGCCACGGTAGGCAGTTTGAACAAGTCTTCGACTGACTATTTTTCGTCATTCTTATAACGGCCAGCAAGGTTTTGCCGTACAGCTGCAAAGTCAACATTAGTTAGTAGACAAACAGCACTTGCGCCTTATCTTGTAGCCTAGCATCTTATCCTTAAAATAATAAAAATAAAATGCTAAAAATACACTGACGTCGTTTGGCACCTAGTGCACTTTTCACAACGCTTTTCACACTTAATTACCACCACTTCTATGTAAATTTACATACGTTGATATTAGGTAAAGTAAAAAGTTCGTTCGGTTTTTATCTAAGAGATGACGTTGTTGTCCATAGTAATAGTGTTACGTGTCGCATCATGTCATACTATACGGCGCTGAAAACGTCTTTATTCGCGCTAAAAGTTTGTCTTGGACAGTTTTTCGATTAATTTACTTAGTGCGTTGTGAGTGCTCTTCAAATATGGACACTAGCAAAGAAAAAATTCTCTATATTTTACAATTTTTCTTCGATCAAGGCGAAAAAGCAGCAAAAGCGGCTGGAAAAATTAATTAAGTTACTGTAAACGAACGAGTAGCACAAAAGTGGTTTGCTGAGTTCCGTTCCGATAATTTCAATGTCAAAGATGCACCATGCGTCGGTAGGCCTGTCGTCGAAAATTGCGATAAAATCATGGAAATAGTGGAAACAGACCGTCACGTGAGCACTTATTTAATTGCTGAGAAACTAAAGATAAGTCAGAAAACCGTTTGTAACCAGAATCTCGCGAAATGGTCGTGGTCACAGCTCGGGAGAGCGACCCAGGCGGTGGCCAATACCTGATTGGTGTGTGTTTAGTTGGATTTGGTAAGGAATCATCATCTACGAGCTGCTCTCCTATAACCAAAAGCTCAATTCGGCTCTCTACTGTCAACAAATTGACCGCTTGCAGGCAGTACTCATCCAGAAGAGGTCATCTTTGATCAATAGAGGTCGTATTGTGTTCCATCAGGAAAACGTCAGGCCACACACGTCTTTGGTGACGCGCCAGAAGCACAAGGAGCTCGGATGAGAGGTCCTAATGCACCCAACTCATAGTCCAGACAAGTGGCAACAAGTGACTACTATCTTTTCATGTCCATGGCGAACGCGCTTAAGGGTGAGAAGATGGCCTCAAAAGAGGCCTGTGAAAATTAGCTCTCCGAGTTTTTTTTGCCAATAGAGACGCAGCCTTCTACGAGAGGGGTATAATGAAATTGGCATCTCGTTGGCAATCAGTTTACGAACAAACAGGCGCATATTTGACTTAAATCGAACAAATGAACACAAAGTTATCATATTTTGAAAAATCAATAAAAACAACCGAACGAATTTTTTACTTAACCAATATGTCAAAGTTTAATTATCTTAGTTTTCCGGTATTGTATCCTCTCGACGGTGGGTGATGCTCATAAATATCATTTTTTAAACATCTCTTTGGGATATTAAATGTTAATAAAATTATAAATTAATGAAGTTCATTTGATATATTTTTTGGGTAAAATACTCTGGAAATTTTAAGCCTGCAGAAACAGTAAAAGTTATAATTTTTTTTTATACAAATGACCCACCTTAAATCTTCTTTCTTCTTTGCCTCTGCTACTTCATGGACTTGAACTTCTACTTCATCTAGATTAGAGTCATTGCTCTGGATGACGAAATTGAGGAAAACAGTGTTGCCTGCTTTTTATTCTGCACAAACCACTTCAACAAATTAAAAAACTCCGATGCATAAAATCGGATTGTTAAGAGAAACCATTTCTGCTGCTTTATTCCTGCAAACTCTTATAAATTATCAACAATATTTCTTTACTCAAAGCTTTCCAAATTTTCCTTAATTAAGTTAATTTGGCTTATCATCGGAATAAATTTTTTTTTATTTTTATTTTACTATTTACAGCTGTCAAATTATTTTCTAGTTAAGAACTAATCGCCACTCAATGTTGGAGTTAAGTTAACCATTAAATTGACAGATGCGCCTTAACCGGCATTGTGAAAACGAATTGTATGCTACTTTCCGATAAAGTTATGATCAACTGATTAACCGGAGATGGTGAAAACGGCCGTACAGATGCGTTCAACTAATTTACAACTCTGGTAGGAAAAATCGAATTTGGTTGATATTTTGATTTCTAAAGAAAACATTTTAACTAAATGTCTAAAAAATAAATTCTGCATAGTTTTTACGGTAATTTAGCTAATCTTTTCTTTGTTATAAGAGAGCTTTTATGAAATAAAGACATTCTACGACTTCATACTCATAAATAGGTCGTGTAGTTAATTAACAACGCTGTCTTTGTTCTTTGGATAAATGCTTTAATTTTACTTTTGAAATTAATATTTGTTTGGGAGCCCTGTCAATATTGTTAATTACGGCTGGACATCTGCGAGGCATTGACTCCAATAAACTTTTGCAAATATCCTTTGGAATACGATTCTACTCTTGTGTAGCTTTTTCATATAAGTCCTGGAAATTTCTAAATTCATGGGAACGAACTCTTTTCTTCAAATGTGTCCATAAATTCTCGATTAGGTTCAAATCGAAAGCCTGTTTAATAGAGTCACCATATTAGCCTGAAACCATTGCTTTATATTGCGCGTATGATGTATCGGATCGTTATCCTAGTGATAAATCCTCGTCACGGGCTTATTGTCTTCATGATTGATATGTACTTAAACTGATCCATGCGCTCATCGATTTTGCAAATAAGCCCAACTCCTCATGTCATGGCACCCCAAATCATTATACTGCCGACACCATGTTTTAAAGTTGTCCTGGTGTACTTTGGGCCCAACTTTTTGCATCGAGGCCTGCGGACATAAATTTTCCAATCAAAAAAAACCCTCTTTATCTTAGTTCCATCAGAAAACAGTACTCTTTTCCACTCGTTGTCTAATGAAGGTATTTCTTTGCAATTTGCATTAGCGATTTTTTTGATTTAATTGTTTTCATTGTTTGTTTACATAATTTTTTGATATGTATGGTACTCAGACCACTACACAGTCTAAAGTGAGAAGGCGAATTCCACACGGTTGGGCGCAGTGTTTGGGACCCCCGCATAAAAAATAGACTCGAATAAAAACAAACTTAAGCCTCCGATGAGAGCAGCACAAATTCGGTGTAGGCTTGTCACTCCGGTAGATGAACGTCCCGCCACAATCCGTTTTAAAAAGAAACTTTTCAATACAATGCTGCTGGATAGAAGTTTTCTTCGAGAAGTGAAAGCTCATTTCCACTTGAATGCAACAAAGTTTTGGAATTTATATTTTGGGTTGCCCCAAAAGAAACCGCCGTCTTTTTATATAGACGGCTTACTATTTACTTTTTTTTATTTTGACAGTTTCACGCTGTAACTTTTAGCTTGCTTTAATTTTATTATTCCCTTAAAGGAAAAATGCAGCGCAGGTTGCTAATATGTTGCATAATTTGTATGGCGATAAGGTTTTAAAAGAAACACAGTATCGAAGTTGGGTTGCCAATTTCCGCTCGAATCGTAAGTTAAGTATACCAAAATCAACCGTTCGTAATCATATATGACATCTTGGACTGGTAAAACAGAAACTTGATATCTGGTGACATATGCATTATAAAAATATATTTAACAAGCCGCTTCAGCGGTTGTGATATGCATCTTAAACGCAATGAATATGATTCATTTTGAAAAAAATCATAACTGGAGAATAAATTGATGTTTAGGATAACGTTAATTGAAAACGATCATGGTCCAATCATGATGAAGTGCCACAAACCAGGGGATTGGAATGGTGTGGTATATTACTGCTTCTAAGGAACCAAACAATTAATTTTGATGCCTACTGTGGACAACTGGGCAAATTGAATACATTCATCAACGAGACTTGATTATTCGTAAAGGTGTCATATTCCACCAGGACAACCGCAGACCGCACACATTTTTGGTCACTCGCCAAAAACGGAGAGCTTGGCTGGGAATTGTTGATGCTTTCACCGTATAGCCCTCACCTTGCAATATCACACTGATTGTCATTTGCTTCGATCTTTGCAGAACTCATTAAAGGATAGAATTTTGGAAAATGACAAAGCTGTAAAATCGCACTTGGTCCAGTTTTTTGCAGATAAAGACCAGAAGTTCTATGAGCGTGGAATAATGATGTTGCCGGAAAGATGGCGAAAGCTCAACCAACAAAACGGAGATTACATAGTTGATTAAAGTTCATTATAAAATTTAAAGAATGTCTTTCCTTTCTTTAAAAAATCGCTGATTTCTTTTAATGTAACCCAATAGATTACGGCCATCAACGTCACCATTTGTTGGAGGCACTATTGGGGTTATGACTGCACTCCATTCTATTAACGTGCAAATAGTAAGAATACTTTTTTCATTTGTTATAGTAGTAACACAGTTCATGTTCATAAATATGTTATCCTTATATCAAGATTTTAGCGGAAAACGGAACCGTGACGTTTTCTTTATTTAGGGCTCCTCTGAAGTGCGAAGAGTCATACATGGTAGTTTTGAAAGTATAGACGATAACATGTTTTTGATTTAGCAAACTTTGTAATCCATTGCATCTCATTTAATTGCTATCCCGCATTTGGTTTGTTTTTATCCTCTGTGTATTTTGAGCATATCTTGACGTTTTTTGAGTTGTGGTGCCACTTTTCCTCATTTTTAATAAAATGGAAATGTCCGTTGTCGATTATCCCTAAAACTAAATTGGAGAATCGCGTAATCGAAGAGGTATATCCCGATCCTGACGGAGATTTTGGTACTGCTCAGTGGCTATGTAGTATACATTTTGCGGGAATACCAAATAAAAACATAGCGGTATAGAATTAGCAAAGATTTGCCGCATGGTAAATATATGGTCAATGGTGGATTTATTAGGTCCAGATCCGCACTGATTACGTTCAGATGGGTTTTATTACGGCGAGCATTAATCTTTCACACAAAGCTCTATTATGGGGTACTCTTTTTATAGATTAGGCATAACAAACTGGTGTCAATCACCGACGAGCTTTCGACCGACCATACTCCGAAGCTGATACATGAGCCTTTTTTCAGTTTTTTACTGCCGTATTTGAATAGCTCGACCAGTAATCCATCGGCCACGCCATTTTGTTTATTTCATTGCCCTAGTCGACCAGCTTCACATGCTGTTTACACTCACGCATTTCAGCCTTTTTCTCTTTGTTTTGCTGCCAAATGCGAATTGCTTCCCTCTTCAGCTATTGGTATTTCTATCACACCTAATAGTTTCTTTTGTACATGTACCGTTCAGCAGTCTGATTGCAGCTTTTCAACGTCGAACTTTCCTTGTGTTTGTTGACGTGCGTTCTTCGATACACAGAGGCGCATTCGTATCTTTGCTGCAACAATGTCGATGTTGGGTTCTCGGAACATACGCACTTTAAAAACACTGGAGACATTTCTTCCGTAAATCACAATATGATCGATCTGGTTTTGTGTTTTTCGATCAGGGGACAGCCAAGTAGCTTGATGTATTTTTTTGTGATGGAATCTAGTACTACAGACAACCATATTTCGGACCCCGCCTAAGTCGATCAGCCTCATCTTGCGATTACAATCTCTTACTTAATCCACATCGGTCTTATCGTTGCACTATATGAAAAGAATGTTGTTAAGCTAACTCCAGAAATCTTATTTAAAAGCCAATTAGCTTAAGTTGCTTCTCTAAAACTTATGTGGCTGAAATGAGACTTATGTTGACTTAGTATAGTAGTATCATCCGCAACTATTAAAGTAATTACTTCGTCACTTATAGGAATGTCTGTGATGAACCGTATGTACAATATTGGTCCAAGAACGTTATCCTTCGGAACACCTTCCGTGATTCGATATTCCTTTGTTATGTTTTTATCAACATTAACAGTGAATCCCCTGTTGGATAAGTAGGATTCAAGGATATTGAGGAACATCATGCCATAGCTTGTCAAATGTTAAGCTACATTAATTAAACGCGTCGATCAATGTTGCGATCCACTTGTTCCATTTGTGCCATGTTTTCCGCAAACTGATGTGTAAGAATAAGATAACTTTCATGGAGGAAAGAAAAATTTTTGATAGCAACACTTTTTCGAAAAGTTTAGATAGTGAAGGCCTAGATGACGAAAAGGTTGCGCCTATACCTATTTTAGCTATCCATATTTATCTGTGACTTTATCCATATTTGTGGTTAATATCCTATCTTTAATATGACATTGTAAAGCTTTGCAAAGAAAACGAGAACAATCTTTGTAATTATTTTAGAATTTTAGTTGAGATATAATCTCCTAGAGACTGGTCTGATATGGTAGTGAGCAGTATGGTTCGGTGACAAAGGTGCATTATTTGTAGCAGTATTCGGTTGAAATACTTTACTGAGGTGCTATGCAAAACAAGACCATATTAAGGTTTTTGCAAGCTTTCCAAAGCGATTTTTTAGTAGAATCGTTAGGAGGCAAAGACAATAAAAGGGGTTTCTTCGTCGTGTCTTAATGGCACTTATAGCTTTTATTCTGCCATCGGGCCGTCGGGCTTTTGCATCGAGCGATTGGTAGGCTTGCAGGATAGTTTAAGAATACGAAAAGGATACTGACTTTCAACTTGCTCTTCACTCAATACGAATGGAACCATGTTTTGTTCATGCGAGTGAGAAAACTTTTTGACTGCCATTCACCAGGGGCCAGAAACGATTCTTTTGCATATGGCTCAAGCAGCTCACGACTTCCGGTCTTAGATCACGTATCAGCTGGGTAGCCAACAAACATCCGTTTGGTGGCGAGCTAAAATGAAAAGCCGAATCCAATGCGGTTGTGCTTACGGTGTGAGTTCCACCACATGAAAAGTATACTCCAATAAAAATCAACAAAGCCACTGATAAGAGACCTCCTGTTTGATGTTCTAATAAAATTAAAGGCTTACATCACCGCCGTCCAAGAAATACGATGGACAGGACAAGGAAGGAAGAAGTTGAGTCCTTGTGTAATAAACAACAGCGGTCTTATAAAGAAGAGCAAATTTGGTGTCGGATTTGTGAGATGATTGGCGGACTGTAGTATAAATGATTCGGCACTAATCGCGAAGAAGAAGATCTGAAGATAGGTCTGTATAGGT